TCTCCCTCCATCCGGGGGTGTAAACCGGGCAAATCCCACGGAGTTCCGTGGGATCGTGTCCCGGAGGAGCTGCTCCTGTGCCCAGGAAAAGCCTCGCTTCCCCCCCGGCGATCCTCGCGCTCGGGAGCATTTCACCATCTCCAGCCCAACCCACATGCTCCATCCTGACACCAACCGGGAAGGGCACGGACCGCACCCCCGAGCGCGGGACAAACAGGGGCTGGGCAGGGGGAGGGGGAGCAGGGGCTGAAGGTTGAGGGGATGAACACTCAACACCCCAGAGAAGCAACGGCCTGAGTTGGGGATGGGTCGTGGCCTCAGGAGGCCTCTACACAGGGAACTTCAATCTAACCTCGATAAATAAAACCAAATGTTTATTTACACCAAAGAATTCCAACACTGGATCTTTCACATATGAAGGACAAAGTATATATACACAGCAAGGGGTAGCAGGGCTGTAACGAGGGTGCTTTTTCTGTTGTCAATGATAATAGTTGTCCACAATTACTGATCTACCATTCCAGGTTAAGGTAACTCGCTCCGTCCTCCCAGTGCGTATTTACAGGACTGTGAGGTAACTGGATTCTCACCACATGGCACGTGAGGGAGGGGATGGGGGTGAAGATGTGGGATCGGACTTGGCGCAGTCTGAGTTTTCCAGCTTTAAGTAGCCACCAGCTTGAAACCTAGAGAAACGATTTAAAAAAAAAAAAACCAAAAAAAAACAAAAAAAAAACAAGATACCCAAAGAACAAAGTAATTCCAGAGATCCAGAGCCTGGGAAGAGGGAGCTCCAGGCGGAAGCCCTGGCCTTGGAGCTGCCCAGGACCCCAAGTGAGCAGAAACTTCATCTTTTAAGACTAAAATGACATGCAGGGGGGTGAGTTGGCATTCTGGTTGGCTCCTAAGGAGACATGATTCAGTCCAATTAGGGTTTCAAACATTATCTGCACTCACTCCTTTTAAGCTTTATCCCACCGCTCCATACTGGAATTGTCTCCTCAGTGGACCCCAGCTGGGTGACAGGCAGGACATGGGGTTCAAGTGAGTGGTACTTAAAGAATCCCCCTCCCCTGCCCCACAAAGACTTGGTTTGGTTCTGGAGAACAGCACAATCCCCCAGGATGTAGGCTCGTGGAGGAGGAATGGTGGGAACATGAAGAGATTTCCAGTAGGATGCAAGGAAATGCTGTTGATTCAATCTTTTGTTCTTAAATGAAGAGTACTTTTTTTTTTTTT